GGGGGGGGGCAGCGTGGGTGGCTGCGACTGCATGGCGTGGGTGTGGGCTGCTGTAAATGTGAGAGTGCGCGCGCGGGACGAGTAGAAAGAGCATGTGCAGCGGCAGAAGTGCACTGCACGCACAGGACGACGGTGTCATCGCAGAGCCCTCTGCAAGTATTTGGCCGCGCGGGCCGAGGGAGCGTGGGTGGGTAAGGTGTCTGGTGTCGGTGCGTGCGCTCTCTTGAGACGTGCATTGGCCCCAGCTGTCATGCACGGGCCGTTCGCTGGGGGGGGGGGCAAGTCTCGTGCAAGTCTTGCCGACCGACCACCTGCCTCCGGAGCGAGCTCGACGAAATTTCATCTGGTGTCCGCTTATGATTATGATTAAGCGCCACCGGAGGAGGCGCAGCTGCGGCCGCCTGGGGCCACCGGAGGCCTCCTCCTCCTCCTCCTCCTCCTCCTCCTCCCGGGGCCGCTGCTCTCGCCTGCTCCTCCTGCCCACCGGACTCGGAGGCCACGGCGGCGGCAGCGCACGGGGGCCACTTAGCACCGCGATAACACCACGCACAGCCAGGTCGCGGCGAGTCGCTGTCCGCCAGGCCGACGCTGGGCTCGCTGAGTCAGTCCGCCGCCGGCGAGTCAAGTCAGAGCCGCTGACAGCTCGGCCGGCGCCTCCTCCTTCCTCTTCCCCCGAGGCAGGCTGGCCTCCTCCGCCGACATGCCGACATGCTGCACGACGTCTTCCAACTCCACGACACGAAGACTCACCTTTTAGGCTTCCATTTCCTCTTGAGAACGCCCAGCATGTGTGCCGCCAGCCCGAGCAGCAGGACGCGGACGACACTGGGGAGGCCGTTCCAGCCCCAGGACAGCCACTGCCACCACGCACACCAACAGCCGTCGGGCACCGGCCACGAGCACGTAGCCGACGTCAGCACACCGCCCTGGTGCTAGCGCAGAGCGAGTGCGTTGTTGTGGCGCCCGGGGGCGGGGCGGGGGTGGGGAAGACCTGCGCCGGCCGCGCGCACCGGGGGTGGCGTCGACTCGACAGAGGGGTGGCGCCTCGCTCCACTCCGGCTGCTCCGGCTGCTGCACTCGGCGACTGCAGCGGGGGAGATGGTAGTCGAGTAATCCGTCGGGTATCCACAAAACAGCGACGATCCACACGCACACAAACACACAGACAGCACTTGAGGGCTTCGCTAATCGCTCAGCCAATAATTATCATTTCGTCACGGCAACTTCACTGCTCACTTCACAAACCCGCGCGCGCACGACGGCGCACTTCCCGTCACGTCGCCCGATTGTTTTCATTCAGCTGGACGCGCGGCCCGGCCCTTGCAGAGCATCGCCAGCTTCGCTCGGCCGCCACGACGGCATCCTCGGCCAGCTGAAACGCACTCGGCTACGCCTCGCCACGGCACGCGACGCGGCTCGCGACGTCCATCGGCTCACTCACGCGACGACTCGTCCACACGGGCATCGCCACAGTCGGCTCTTGCGTACGCACAGCCTCGCGCTCAGCGGTCCCGCTGCATACTGACTGGCGCGGCGCAGGGCGGGCAGGCCGCCGAGCCGGGCGGGCTGTGCCTGTGGGTGGGAGACGAGACGGGGAGGGGAGGGGAGGAGAAAGGGGTGACGGAGCGTCACGGGAGGGGAGCGGGAGGGAAAGGAAAGAGGCTGAGGGAGGTCGACTTGGTACGGAGTATGGGTACTTCTTACTTTTTCTCGCTCAGAGAGCACCGAGCGTATTTAATGTTTAGAGCACCATCCCCTTCTGACCCCTTCTGACCAGGCCCAGCAGGCCAGCCGATGACATTACAGATAACAAAAACGCGAAAGTCACTTAGAGTCATTTGACTGATTTTTGACTCGGGCGACTTTCTGCCTAAATTTTGACTGTCTAGTCAATGTTTAGCCAGAAAGTCGCTTATTTTGACATCAAAGGCCCAGTCAAATGACTCTCAAGCGAGTGTTTATGGGGTGGCCGGTTAGGCGATTTTCGTCAACCTGAGCAAGTAACATTCAAGATCAAAAATTTTCAAGAAAAAATAAATAAAATAAATCAGGTTTTATTGATGTTATGTCTATCTGTTAGCACTGTCATTCTTGTCATTAGAATGTTAGTTTTTGGTTGACAGATAGAATATAATAGGGAGGGGATTGGTAAACAACAAAAAGTATTACAACAGCATCTGTTTTAATAAGAAACAAAGGAACAACAGAAACAATGCACAGTCATAGGACCCGTGTGAATAAATACTGAGAAACACTCAGAGTGAAAAAAAATTACACATATATTGTACATCAATAGCCACAGTAAAACTTTTATTACAAAACAAATGGACAAATGTTAACTTTTAATGATGAAAGAACACTCAGCTGAACATTTATTAGCTACTTAATGTCAAATAATCAATTTAGCTTCTAATTTCTAACGTATGGTTTAAGACTTGATTGTTCCCTAGGTTTCTAAATACATTACATAACATTATGAATCAATTTTGAAATGATGGAATTTTATAATATGAAATTTTAAGGTAGTAGATGGTCACACTGTAGTACTGAAGGGTAACAGGTTACCACAAAAGTTAAAAAAAGGAAAACAGGTCTTTAATTAGATCAAGTAACAAGAGTATCATCCAATTCTTCTTCCTTAGTCTCAGGCTGGTTAGCAACCTTGCGAAGAACCTTACTAATAACATCAGTAAGAGACTCCTGAGCTCCCGCATCCAATAAACTCAAGCAGTACTGAAAAAGGAATAAGCAGTAGGTAAGACAGTGTTGATAATTTCACTAAAACAAGCTGAAGTAAAACACTCACTTGCAACATCTCTTCGCCTTGTCGTAATTGTAACACAGCAACAAGAGCAATTTCACTATCTGCTTTGACATAACTATTTTTCTCTTTAGTTCCATTGACCAGCATAGGTAAAGTGACTCTCAAGAGTTCTGGTGCAAATGTTTTCCTATCATGTCTTCTAGCTAAATAAGAGCATACTCTAGACACTAACTGCTTCACTTCATTTGAACTATGGTTCATAGTCTGAAACATAATTTTTTTATTGGCACTAGCTTTAAATAATTTAAAGAAAA